CAGAAAGCCACAAGTGGAGGTTTCACTGATGTTGGGAAAGAAAGGGGACCCTGACAGATCACCCTCAGAAGGCTGGCCAGCAAGGAAGGAGTTGTGAGGGTGGATTGCAAAGGGTACTAGAAAACAGGTACTTCAACTCCTGAGAGAATTGGATGTGGAAAAGTACTAGAAAATAGGTAACTCAACTCCTAAGAGAGCTGGATTGTAAAGGCACTGGAAAAGGGGTACCTCAAGTGCTGAGAGAGTTGGATTTGAAAGGTACTGTAAGGGTGCCTAAACTCCTAAGAGAGTTGGATTAAAATAGAGAAAATATACAGAGAAAGTTTAAAGAGACAAGGTTCTGGTAAGATCTCATTTTAACTTTGGATTAAGTAATAATGCTTAGAAAATTATTAAAGAAATATGGGAAATCCTCCTCTGAGGAATCCCTCTCCCCTGACCTGTGCATCAGCAACCCGCTGACCCAGAAGCCCATGCACTTGTCTAATAGAGCCTGCTGCAGGCTCCAGTCAGCTGGCAACAATGTGGTGTGCACTGGCTGGCTGGTGGAATTGCCTTTAGAGAAAAAATTGGGGCGGTATGCTTGGAAGAAACGCTGGTTTATCCTAAAGAGAAGTCAAATGAGTGGTGACCCAGATGTTCTAGAATACTATAAGAATGAACACTCCAAGAAACCCCTGCGGATCATCAACCTAAACTTCTGTATGCAGTTGGATGTAGGCCTGAACTTCAACAAAAAACAATCCCAAAGGAGTTTTGTGTTTGATATCATTACCAATGAGCGCACCTTCCACCTGATGGCTGAGACAGAGGCTGACATGAATAGGTGGGTCCAGAACATTTGCCAGATTTGTGGCTTCAGTCAGACTAAAGGGAACACTGATACCCTGAGAAACTCTTCTTCAGTTAATCATAGTCTCCGCTCTACTCCAGCTGAGTTCACCAGCTCCAGTCAGCACCTTCTCCAAACAAGGAGGTCCTCACCCCTTTTACACTCTAGCCAGCCTGCTGTGTCAAGCCACATCCAGCCTGCCTTGTCCACCAGTGCACCTCAGGAGTATCAAAACTTGCACCAATGCCTAAGCCAAAGGACAGAAAATGCCAGAAGTGCCACCTTCTCTCAGAGCACCAGACAGGAGAGTGACACAGCCACACAAAACCTTGCCCAGGGCGATAGACACTGTATCAGCAGAGACAGTGGTCAAGTCCATGGCTTCTATAGCCTTCCCAAGCCAAGCAGACAATTCAAAGACCATGCTTTTGACCTCCCCCAAAGCCGCACTAAGGGGAGCCTCACAGTGTCTGAGGCAGATAATGAGAATGAGTACACCTTTAGCCACACTAAGGGGAGCCCCACTGTGTCTGAGGCAGATAATGAGGATGTGTACACCTTCAAGGTACCCAGCAATACCCTCTGTCGGGAATTTGGAGACCTCCTAGTGGACTCAGCCATAGCTCCCCCACCACAGCACCCCAAGATACCTTGGTGTGGTAACCCTCAACAAAGACCTCCAGCCAATGACTACAAGTACCCAATGCGAGGCATAGAAACCGTCTGCTGGTCTGCTAAATCCCCAAAAAGGACTATCATGGGTAAATCACACAGCGGCAGCTCTGATGACAACTGTATGCCCATAAACCTAGGTTCTTCTACCCTGCTGGCTTTGGAACAAACAGGGGACAATTCCCACAGTGCCTACATCCCCATGAACACAGTCCCCCATCACTTTGACCCACTGGGCTACCCATCCACAGCCCTTCCTATTCATAGAGTCTCCAGCGGAGAAAGGGAAATCCAGCCACCCCCAATTAATCGCAACCTCAAGCCTGGCCGAAAAGCAAAGCCACCACGCCTTGACCTGAGAAACAACACTGTCATCAATGAGCTCCCTTTCAAGTCACCTGTCACCAAGTCTTGGTCCTCCCAGTACTGCCATTCCATCTCAACACAAAACATGACCAACACAGGCTCCAGAGACAGAGAGGAGAACTATGTCCCAATGCAAAACCCAATGTGTTCATCCCCTGTACCCAGTGGCACTAACAACCCTGCTTTAAAAAAGAATACTGGCAATGTGAAATACATAACGCTGGACTTCCATCCAGTCTCCCTGAGCCCTCATCATAAGCCATCCCCATCATCTGTCACATCAGATGAAAAAGTGAAATATGTCCAAATAGATAAAATAAAGACTCAGGCCCTACAAAAGACAATAGAGGAATGGACAAAGATACGACAGTCCTCAAGACCCTCCAAAGATGCCAAGCTATGGTAAGGATGGCCGTCCCCCAACACCTCCTCTCCTTTGTGAGTTTTGTTCAAAAATATATGTATGTTCTATATGTATGGTGTGTCCACACACGGGTGTAAGAAGTGTGATTGTAAATGTGTGACTGTTGACACAAGAATGCTATTGTGTTGTCTTTGAGTTATTTAATTGCTGGGGGAGGAGCAACAGTTGCTAAAGTACAGGTTACTTGGGAGGGGAATTTCTACTTTTGTTTCCATGGAGGATAAAGAGCTGTGGATGCCATCCTGACTGGTGTGGTTTCATGGGGCAGGACCCCCTAAAGCAGAGGCCCAGGTGATCCAAATATTTGTTTTCATTTAAATATGGTTGTTTCGAAATGGTAATGGTCACAGTCAATCACTTTTTAAGGGAAAAAGAAGGAATAGGATATAGAAATAATACTTTGTCTTGGAATGGATCCTCATTTGTTGATACTTTGTATTGCAATGGATCTTCATTTGTTGATATTAGTTAGGTTTTCTAGATATATAGATAGATATTCTTCAAACCCTTTAAAGACCTATGGAATAAATGGCATTTAAGTGGTTTAGGGTTTTTCTTGACAGTGAGACTCAACTGCTACTGGCACATCAATTACATCTGAGAGGAAGATGGGGTTTGAAAACTCATTATAGAGTTTGCCTTTTACATGCAAGACTAGTCATTTCAGCAAGAAGCTGCTGAAATGTTTGACTGTTGTTTTACAAACTGGACATGCAGGACCCACAGGAAAATAAAGATGGACAGTCCTAAATGGTTCCTGCTTCATGGGAGAATCTCCCAGATTTTCTACCGGACACAGAAAAAAGGTTATTGACAAACTACCAATGCAAGTGAACAGTTTAATATTTCCTGCTTTACTGAGAAGTCTGCCAGACACATTTTGGCCTGTAGCCTAAAGACGGATGCCCCAACATTACCAAGACACTTTGGGTGACTGTCTAGAAAGCAAGATGTCTCTGTCAGTTCTAGAGTTTGTGTATTATCCTTCTATGGTCTTTGATGGAGTTGAAGACAGATAGTTATAGTAATGCACTAAGACAGAATGGTTAAAATCTTATAGTTCTTACTTGATAACTGTTTTGTTATAGATAAAGTAGTGGGAGATGTTAGGACTCAGCCCCAACAGGGTCTCTATGAGTTGTTTTCTGGCATAACACAGGTACCTCCTGTTTATCTGACCTCACCCCACTAGCATCAATATCCTGTTGTGAACCCTTTCACCTAGGGTTTTTGTTAAGTTTGTATATAAGGCTGCTCCACAATAAAGGTGAGAGACATTCTCTCAGAAAATCAACTAGGTGTCCTGTGGTTCATCCAAGTCTCCAGGCTTTCACCCAAAACTAGACTTAGTTGTGTTGCAGGCACTCAGATTAGGTTATGGGTTAGCTTTAGGGTTCATGATTAGGATTATGGTTAAGGTTGGATTGGGATTAGTATTAAGGGTTCAGAGGTAGGGTAAAGGTTAGGGGGAGGTTTAGGTTTCAGTGTTAGGGTTAAGGATAGGTTTGGGTTCAGGGTTAGGGTTAAGTTTAGGGAATAGGGTTAGAATTAGGGTTAGGTTTAGAGATAGGGTAAGGTTTAAGGTTAGGTGTAGTGTTAAGGGTAAGGGTTAATGTTAGGGTTCAGGGTTAGTTTTCAGAATTATGTTTATGTAAGGTTAAGGTTTAAGGTTTAAGGTTTAAGGTTTAAGGTTTAAGGTTAGGTGTAGTGTAAGGGTTAATGTTAGGGTTCAGGGTTAGTTTTCAGAATTATGTTTATGTTTAAGGTTCAGGGTTGACTGTTAAGATTAGGGTTTGGTATAGTATTTAATGTAGGGTTGGGTTAGGGTTAGGATTAGGGATTAGCCTTGATGGTTAAGATTAGGGTTAGGGATAGGGTTATGCTTATGCATATGGTTATGGTTATGCTTAGGGTAGGGATAGAGTTTTAGGGTTCAGTGTTCAGAGTTAGGGTTAGGTATATGTTTAGGAGATAGGGTTAGGTTTAGGATTAGGGTTAGGGTTCATGGTTAGAGTCGGGTTTAGGTTTAGTGTTAGGGTTAGGATTAGGATTCAGAGTTAGGCTTCCATCTAGGGTCAGGTTTCACGGTTAGGGTTAGGGGTTAGGTTAGGTTTAGGGTTAGCGTTCAGGGTTATGGTTAGTAGTAAGGTTAGGGTTAGGTTTAGGGTTGGGGTTAGGGTGAGGGTAAAGTTTAGGGTTAGGGGTAGAGTTCCGAGTAAGGCTTAGGGGTAGGATTCAGGGTTAGGGTTACTCTTAGGGTAATGGTTAGGGTTTGTGTTAGGGTTCAGTGTTCAGGGTTTATTTTAGGGTTAGGGATAGGCTTATGTTTCTGGTTAGGGTTAGAGTTAGGTTTAGGTTAATGGTTAGGGTTAGGGTTCCTTGTTCAGGGTTCTGGGTTCAGGGTTAATGTTATGATTAGGGTTAGTGTTATGGTTCAGGATTAGTGTCAGGTTTAGTTTTCAGATTTAGGGTTAGGGTTCAGGTTTAGCGTTATGTGTAATGGTTAGGATTTCAAGGTTAGGGTTAGAGTTAGGTTTAGGTTAATGGTTAGGTTTAGGGTTCAGCGTTAGTTTGATTTCTATAGCTAGGGTTAGGGTTCAGGGTTAATTGTTAGTGTTCATAGGTTTGGTTAGGGGATAGGTTTAGTGTTTCAAGGTAAGGGTTAGAAATAGGGTTAAGTTTAGGGTTTAGGGTTAGGGTTCAGAATTATGTTTAGGGTTAGGTTTATGGTTCAGGTTTAGTTTCAGTATTAGGCTTAAGTTTAGGTTTAGGGTTCAGCGTTAGTGTTAGGGTAAGATTTAGGGGATAAATTTAGGGTTAGAGTCAGGGTTCAGGGTTAGGTTAAGGGATAAGGTAAATGTTATGATTATGGGTAGGGTTCAGGGTAAGTGTTAGGGTTAGTGTTCTTATTTAGGGTTAGGATTAAGGACTAGGGTTAGTATTAGGAATAGGGTTAGGGTTAGGGTAGGGTTCAGGGTAGGCTTATAGTTCAGGGTTCAGGTTAGAGTTAGGGTTACAATTCAGGGTTCAGGGTTAGGGTTATAGTTCAGGATTCGGGTTATAGTTAGGGTTACAATTCAGGGTTCAGGATTAGGTTTCAGTTTAGGCTTAGGGTTAAAGACTGGTTTAATGTTGGTGTTAGGGTTGAGAGTTAGTGTTAGAGTTAGGGTTAGATATAGGGTTAGGGTTAGGTTTAGGGTTTGTTTTAGGGTTAAGGATCATGTTTAGTGTTAGGTTAGTGTTATGTTTGGAGTTAGGGTTTGGTTTAGTGTTAGGGTTGGGGTGAGGGTTCATGGTAAGTGTTCAGAGTTAGTGTTATTGTTATCATTATTATTAGGGTCATGGTTATGGTTAGGGTTAGGGTGATTGTTAGGTTTATGGTTCATGGTTTTGTTTAGGGTTTGGTTAGGTTTAGGGTTTAAGGTTAAGGGTTAGTGTTAGAGTTCGGGGTTTAAGTGTCAGGGTTCAGGGTTAGGGTTATAGTTAGGGTTCATGTTTAGTGTTAGTGTTAAGTTTAGTGTTCAGATTTAGCCTTAAGGTTAGTGTTAGGGTTAGGTTTTAGGGTTAGAGTTAGGGTGAAGGGTTAGGGTTAGATTTAGGTTTAGGGTTTGGGGTTACTGTTAGTGTTAGAATTGGGTTATGGTTAGTGATTCAGGCTTAGGGTTATGGTTAAGTTTAGTGTTAGGGTTGGAGATAGGGTTAATGTTAGGGTTAGGATTCAGGGTTCATGTTTAGGGATTAGTGTTATGGTTATGGTTAGGGTTAGTGTTAGGGTTAGATTTTGCATTAGCTTTATGGTTCATGGTTAGGATTATATTTACGGTTAGGATTATGTTTCAGGATTCAAGGGTAGGGTAAGTGTTAGGTTAGGTTATGGTTTCAGTGTTAGGCTTGAGTTTAGGGTGAGGATTCAGGATTATGGTTTGTGTTTAGGTTTGTGGTTATGGTTATGGTTACTGATAGTGTTAGGTTAGATTAGGGTTATGGTTTGGGGTAGGGCTAGGGTTTAGCATTCAAGGTTAAGTTTAGGATTAGTGATACCATTAGGGTTAGTGTTAAGGTTCAGGGTTAGGGTTAGGTTCAGGGTTAGAGTTAGGCTTAGTATTAGGGTTAGGCTTCTGCTTCTGGTTCTGGTTAGGGTTAGGTTAGGCTTAAGTTTAGGTCAAGGTTTCATGATTAGGGTTAAGGTCAGGGTTAGGTTTAGGGGATATGGATAAGATCAGGGTTAGGGTTACGGCAAGGGTTAAATTTAGGGATAGTGTTAAGTGTAAAGGTTAATGTTATGGTTCAGGATTGGGGATCAGAATTATGTTTAGGGTCAGGGTTAGGATTATGTTTAGCTTTGAGGTTAGGATTAGGGTTAGGGATATGGTTAGGTTTAGGGGATAGGGTTAGGTTTGGGGTTAGGTATAGTGTTAGAGTTCAGTGTTCAAGGTTAGGTTTAGTGTTAAGTTTCAGGATTAGGGTCAGGTTTATGGTTAAGGGTTAGGCTTAGGTTTACGGGATAGGCTTAGGTTTATGTTTAGGGTTTGGATTCATGCTTAGATTTAGGGTTTGGTTTAAGGTTTAGGGCTTAAGGTTCAGAGTTAGAATTAGGATTCAGGATTATAGTCAAGTTCAGGTTTAGTGTTAGGGTTATGGTTGGGCTTCCATTTATGGTCAGGTTTCAGGGTTATGTCATTTTTGGTTTTGATCTCAGAATGTTGAATGCTTAGGGGACTATAAATATTTGCACAATTTGTGGATGTTACATTGTTTGAAAATTTCTTATGAATCACTTATGCCTTCTCCCAAAAGTGCTGCTTCTATAATTCTCCAGGAAGGACACTACCCCTCCCACTTTTAGGGAGATATCCTCCCATTTGAAAATTTATCTTACACATTGGAAGTTGTGACACACAGACAGACGCCAAAGGTCACTTTAAGAGCCTTGAAACATCTCCCCCAGTACTTACTAAGAAAAAAAGATAAAGTATAATAAA